TACATGTTACAGCCTGAGGGTTTGGATGATGGGAGCGGCAGGGTGTGCAGGCTGAAGAAGGCCATCTATGGCCTGAAGCAGGCTCCTCGTGCATGGTACCACAAGTTAGAGGAGACTCTGCTGGCTGGGGGTTTCAAGAAGAGTGAGTGTGATCACAGCTTGTTCCTGCTGCAGGAGAAGGAGCAGTTTCTCATGCTCCTGGTGTATGTGGATGACATCCTGCTCTTCTCTGAGTCGTCTGCAATGATTGAGCATGTGGAGGAGATGCTGGAGATGCAGTTTAAGTGCTCCAAGATGGGAGATGTGAAGTACTATTTGGGCATGCATGTGGAGAGGGACCTTGACAAGGGAGTGTTGAGGTTGCACCAGAGAAAGTATTGTGAGGGGCTGGCTGAGAAGTATGGGCTGCAAGATGGAGGAAAGCCAGCCACCCCACTGCCTTCGGGGTTCACTGTGGAGCCCTGTGCTGAAGAGGAGGTGGTGGGTGAGAGTGACAGGAAGCTGTTTCATTCCATGGTGGGGGCACTCAATTATGCGGCTAACCACACGCGGCCTGACATTGCCTTTGCTACATCCAGGCTTGCAAGTGTGGTTTCACGCCCCGGTCATGAGCAGCTGGAAGCGGCCAAGAGGTTGGTCCGCTATGTGAGCGCTACGGCATTAGTGGGCTTGGAGTACAGTGCTGTGCGACAGAGGCTGCAGAGGGGTGCAGCTGATTTGGGCAAGGGGGAGATGCTCCTGACCTGCTACACCGACGCTAGCTTCAACTCTGTGAAGGCGGATGGCACCAGCATTGGAGGCTATGTGTGCCTGTTTGGAGGTGGTGCTGTGAGCTGGCGCAGCAAGAAGCAGAACGAGGTGGGGCAGTCCTCGTGTGAGACAGAGTACATGGCTCTGCATCATGGGGCAAAGGAGGTGGTGTGGCTGAGGCGTTTGTTGGAGGAGATCGGAGTGTGCCAAAAGGATCCAACTGTGATTTTCTGTGACAACGAGTCGGCTGTGAAGCTTGCTAAGAATGCTTGCCTTCATGGGCTGACGAAGCACATCAGGCCTAAGTGGCATTGGGTGAGGAGGCTCCTGGACAAGGAGGTGCGGCTGGAGATTGTGAAGACCCATCAGCAGGCGGCTGACATTCTCACCAAGCGCCTGGCTGAATCTGAGCATTGGAAGGGCATGAAGCTTGCTGGGATGAGTGTGCATTGAGGATGCATGCTTGAGCTATGGCATGTGGGATGATGGTTGGCAGCCAGAGGGGGAGTTTGTTGAGTGATGCTACCATTCGCATTCACGTCTGTCTGCCTCCCATCATATGTTCGTGCGTTGCATGCGTGTTGTGAGTGTGTGCAAGAATTTGTGTTTTGTGCGGTTTGGTTTTTCTGAGTGTGTGTGTGAATGTTATTTGGCTTGAGCAGATATCTGAAGTGACTCCTCTGCTCAAGAGCTTTCCGAGGAACCAAGTATCGCTTCAATCGGAGCACGAACAAGAAAGTTACGAACGTTGGAGTTCGTATGCTTTTGATATTTGGTTGTGGTGACTATGGGAAGTTGTGGGGTTGACTCAATATGGGGTACAGACTTTTGGGGGTTGGGAAATTCGTCTTTTCTACTGTAGTTGCTGCCAAATGGTTGGGAGAAACCAAACCAGGTTGGCAAGTGTGGCCAAGTTGGGTTGAGGTGGATTGTGGAGGTTGGGATAGTGACAAAGGTCAAAGTTGGGTTGCCTATGGGGAAGGGAATTGTATGGCATGGGGTTTCCTTGGTTGGGGACTCTCTTGGGACCTTCCCTCTCGTCCTCCTCATCCCCTCCTACCTGGTTCTATTGCTACTCTAACTTTCTTGTGTGAACTTGTGAGATCATTGTGATTGAGTTACGTTTTCTATGGCAGCATACCCCCTAGTGCGCCGAAGTTCATAACTCGAGTTATACTCCATATTCTGATACTATTCAAATTGGGAAAGATAGCCACGGTCAAGGGCTACAACATACTCGAGTTTGAAAGAATTCTAACAGTGGACCTTTCGTCGACGACGTTTCTTGTGACGACGACTTTTCTGTCCAGAATTGTAGTTGACGATTTTGAGATATTTCAGCCCCTAATCTTCATAGACTCCGTCCTTAATCTCTAACACCTTTCCCCTTCTTCCATTGATCCAACAGCCCACTTAATTAACTTAATAACCGTGGTGTGCTTCTCTTCATCCTCAGGGGTTGCGCTTTTGTCGCCCAAAAAAATAGAACTGAAGGTTCCTTTTAAAAGCTCTCATAGCTCAGTTGGTTAGAGCACCCGTTTAGTAAGCGGGAGGTCTTGAGTTCAACTTTCAATGAGAGCAGTTTTCTTCCTTTGTTGAGTCATTGCACAAGTAGTTCTTTTTCCAACATAACACTTGCTCCATTCCCCGCTCTCCTTTCCCCCCTCACATTCCTTCTTACCAACGACATTCCTCTGCTCTTGTCGTCTTTCGTCTTTCCCCCGTGTTCCTTCCCTTTCCTTCCCTTTCCGCTCCTTTCGAATCCTCTCCTCCACTCCCTCCCTGGCATCTCCCTATACCCCGCTGGCCTATCTTCCTTATTCCATATGCTCATCCCCATACCCAACATCCCCCGCCACCCCATTCATCTCATCGTGCCATGCCATTCATCCCATCATGCTCTGCCATGCCCCTTCCTACGTCACCCCATGCACCAGCAGGGAGTATCTCCCCCCCTCCCGCATCCTCTTCACACCTTTACCTTCCCCGTTGCTCCCCCGCCATCTCACCGTAGCCTTTGCACCCTCAGGCACCACTTCTCCCTCCATCACCCCTAATCACCACTTGTTCATATCACCAATCTTCCCCTTCATGAGCCTATCGCCCTCCGCTGCTGCTCATATATATGTGTCTCCCTGCTCTCTCTCCTCCTCCCCCCTACCTCCCCGCGACTGCTACCAGCAGCCGCTTCGCCCTGGTGGCATGGCGTGGAGGATGGGCGAGCCAGGGGCACCGTCAGAACCAGGATGGCCTCATTGGTCATGATTGCCCCTCCTAGTTGGAAGGTCTTGAATGCGAAACACGGTAGGCATCATGGCAGAGCCATGCATGCCGCAGCAACAGTAGTGGCGGTAGTCGTGGTTGCCCCTCCAAGTTGGAAGGTCTCTAATGCGAAACATGGTAGGCATCATGGCAGAGCCGCACGTGCAGCAGCAGTGGTGGCATGGCGTGGAGGTAGGGCGAGCCAGGGGCGCTGTCAGAACCAGGATTGCCGCATTGGTCATGATTGCCCCTCCTAGTTGGAAGTTCTTATAATGCGAAACGCGGTAGGCAGCGTGGCAGAGCCATGCATGCCGCAGAAACAGTGGTGGCGGGGTGAAGCCGGTCAGCTGTGGTCAAGGCGGTCAGCTCTGGTCAAGCCGGTCAGCTGTGGTGAAGCCAGTCAACTGTGGTGAAGCCAGTCAGCTGCGGTGAAGCCGGTCAGTTGCAACTTGCCAGTGGAAAGAGTCAGGCAGATGAAGGTGCCAATGAAAGGGGGGTGATTGGTGAAGGATGCAGCTGGGGTGGGCGGAGATCATAGAGGACGCGTGGGGTGTTAATCGATGGGTGGAAAGGGTTGAGGGACCGGGGAGGTAGGCAGGCTGGATATCGGCAAGGTGAGAGTCAGTGCAGGGCGAAGGAGATGCGTGTAGTGTAGGAGCCACTCTCGAGTCACTCACTCTCAAGTCACTCACTCTCAATTCACTCACTCTAAGTCGCTCACTCTCAAGTCACTCACTCTCGAGTCACTTTCGACTCGAGTCACTCGCCGTCGATGGTGGGAGGGGGGAAGTTGACTAGTTGCTACTGAAAGTCTGTGGGAGTTAGTGGAGAGACCAGGTTGCATTTTATTAATTTCCCCCATCCCTGCTACAATTGCCTCCCGTCCCCTCCCAAATCCCGATACCCTCTTCCTAACCAGCCCCTTTTCGCATCCTCCCATCCCTTATAAAATCCATTCAGCCTTGTGTTTGAGCATCCCACACCGACTTGTGACCTTTGACATCTGCCGTTACCACACATGTGCATTACTCACCCTTCCCTTGACCTCTATCCCTCTTTCTCCATCGTACCCCCCAGCGCCCCACCTTCTTACCTTACACAGACTCATCGATTCACGCCCCTACGGCACTGTCTCCCACATTGAGTTGAATTTCGAGGCGCCTCAAAATTAAATCCCCCAGCGCCCCACCTTCTTACCTTACACGGACTCACCGATTCACGCCCCTACGGCACTGTCTCCCACATCCCTCCCCTCTAGCTCTGCAGCTGGTTTTTGAGGCGCCTCATTTTTTTACGCGCCTCAAAAAGCGTCTCCCACATCCCTTCCCCCTAGCTCTGCAGCAGCTGGTTCTCATGTACCGACTTCCAGCCCACAGCCGCAACCCTACGGCTCTGTCTACCCATTCCTCTCATAAACCACTTCTGCTTTTCCTCCTTTCCTCTCCCATTCCCCCTTCCCCTAGCACTGCACCTGCTCCCCAGACCCACGTCTAGCCCACAGGTTTTGGCCCACAGATAAGCCTCCCTCGTCTAGCCCACTGCACAGACTCACCTCCCACAGCACAGGCGCACGCCCCTCCCTTTTGCATACCCTTTCCCTCCCCCCCGCCCCTTCCTCACCTCTTCCTGCTCCGCAATGCTTCTCCTACGCCAGTGGTTGCCGCACGGATTTCTGAAGAATTAACTCATTGCTCATGAGGAACTTGAGGACTGCTGAGTGCTCTTCTTAAAAGGGATGCAGCGCACCTTTCCTTCACCGCCGTAGCCCTCTTCACTTCCCCTGCACCCGCCCCCCCACCTCTGCACCTGCTTCTCCCAGACCGACTTGTGCCCCACAGACTTCGGTGCTCCTACGATATTCTCTTCAACATCTCTCTCATAGCCATTTTCCCCATCTCTCAATGTCATTGTCTTCCCATCTGTGCTGTTTGCCCTTTTCGTCCTTTCCTCTCCCCTTCCCTACCCCCACACCTCCTGCCCACCCCCAGCACTGACTCCGCACCTGCTTATCCTACACCTACTTTTATGCCATAGACTCCCATCCCTATGCCGTACTGTTCGCCCTGTTCGCCCTCACAGCAGCACGGTAGAGGCAGCTGACGTGGCGGAGGTGTGCGAGAGGCTGCAGGCGAAGCTGGGCGAGGCTGGGCAAGGCTGGGCTTCTGGGTGCCCGGTGGCGGTGTTTGAGGTGAGGAGTGACGTGCAGAGGAAGGAGGAGGTACGTTCGGAGTGACGTGCAGAGGAAGGAGGAGGTACGTTCGGAGTGACGTGCAGAGGAAGGAGGAGGTACGTTCGGAGTGAGTGAGGGGTTGCGAGCAAGCTGGGATGTTTGATACTTAGGTTAGGCCAGGCTATCTTCATGATTATCGATCATCTGTCGTGTGCTCATGCTGGAGTGGTTATCGGGACAGACTAGAAATCTGTTGGGCTCTGCCCGCGCAGGTTCGAATCCTGCTAAGCACGTGAACCTGGTTCTCACGTTTTTGCTGACGAAGATGTAATATTGTGCCTCGAGCAATTTCTGCATCAAATTTGTTTTGCACTTCAAAACTTGACGTGACTGGTGCATGAAAACAAATATCAAGGGGTTGGGTGTTCCCTCTCCCTCACTTGCTCTCTTCCCCCTCTTCCCTCCCCTTCAGTATCTCTCTTTCTCTCTTACTGTCTCTCTGTCCCATCCCTCTACAGGCCATCCGTCTCTGCAAAGCAGCCCATATGTCCTCTCCTGTGGAACCCTTCCCCACCCTCTCTTCTCCCTCACCCCACTCTCCCTTGCAGCTCTCTCATTGGCTCATCATCTCCCCAGAATTTCCCCTCAGTCCCCTAGAGTACCGGCTAGCTCTCGTTTGTTGCCCCTTCCCCCTCTCCCACCGACCTGCTCCCACATTCATCCTCTCTTTTCCTCCCCACTCTCCCGCCTTTCCCTCCCCTCCCCACTCTCCCGCCTTTCCCTCCCCTCCCCACTCTCCCGCCTTTCCCTCCCCTCCCCACTCTCCCGCCTTTCCCTCCCCTCTCCACTCTCCCCCTCTTCCCTCCCCTCCCCACTCTCCTCCCCTTCCGTCCCCATCTTGGCCCCTTCCCTCCCCACCCTCCCCCCTTGCCCCTCCCCCAGCTCTTTGATCGGCTTATGACCTTAAGCTCTCCCCTCATTCCCCTTAATTACCAACTTGCCCTCGCCTGCGCCGTGTGGTGCAATGTGGTGGAGACTGTTACAGAGATGTTCCTCTCCTTTCCTGAGGAGTTGCACGCAGAAAAGGTAGGTGGGATTTGGGAACTTAGTGGGGTTGATTGTTGGGTGTGGTTGAGTGCGGTTGACTGAGGTGTCTTGCTCTCCAAACCAACTGCCCTTCCAACCAGTGATGTGCGGTGCAATGCGGTGGAGGCCGTTTAAGCGATGTTTTTTTTCTTTCCCAAGCAGTATTTTCATTCGCTCATCCCCAGCGCAATTGGGTAAAAGCCGATTGTTTTTCTCTCTGCCCGCTTGTGAATCACATGCTTGTTGGAGTGCTCAATCATTTTGCTAGGCGCAGGCAGGCGCACAAGCTAGAGGAAGAACTGGAATGGCTGCGTTATCATGGGGTACCTGAGAATATACCCTGTATTGGGCCAATCTTCAAGGGTTAATAACCGAACATGAGATTATAATGAAAGGGGCTGCATGGGATATGTTTGATGGGACAATAGCGAGCGAGGGAGAAGAGGAGGGAGGTGAGGAGGGAGGGGGAAGGAAGGAAGGGGGTGTGGCTGGGGGTGATTCGGATTGGTTCTAGGAGGTGGAGGGGAAGGAAGGAGCGGTTGGGGGAATTGCTAGAGGAGATCTGATGTTGCAAGAAATGAAGGGGAAGGTGAGTGTACAGAAAGGGTGATTATAACAAGAATACGGTTTCTATAAGGTGATTTCAACGAGAAGGTGGTGTTTATAACAGTAATCAGGAGCGGTTGGAGCAAATGTTGATCAAGTGCTAGAGGCTGATCAAATGTTGCAAGAAACGTTTAGCCACGAGGGCTGGGCGAGCTGCAGCCACGAGTTTTGAGACATCTCAAACCTTGGTTGGAGCAAGTGCTGGAGGCAGATCAAATGCTGCAAGAAACGTATTTTGCTCGCAGTTGGAGCCTCAAACTGGTTGAGGCGTGGTTGAGGCGGCTCTAAATACACCTCAATGCTCGCGATTGGAACAAGCGGTGGAGGTTGATAAAATGTTGCAAGAAACGAAGGAGAAGATGAGTGTACAATAGTCTCAATTGCTATGTGTATGATCTACCAAGCTCACGTGCTTCCCTGTGCATCTCCACCACTTACCACCAGGGAATGATGCCTGCTGAAGCTGCCTACAACATACTCTTTGCCAGCCTCAGCAGGCTTGGACTCATGTGTGTGTGTGTGTGTGTGTGTGTGTGTCTGTGTGTGTGTGTGTGTATGTGTGTGTGTGTGTGTCTGTGTGTGTGTGTGTGTCTGTGTGTGTGTGTGTGTGTGTGTGTGTGTGCGTACGTGCGTTTGCCATACACACTGCTATTATATATAGCATGTGTCAGGCTCTCGTTCTCCTCTATGCATCTCCACCCCACCAGGGAATGATGCCTGCCTGGCGACTCAAAAGACAAATCTTATCCCTTGGGACGAGGATAAGCTGCCTGACGAAGTTGCTTACAACATCAACCTAGCGTATGTTTTTTTAGAATTCTAAGAAATACATACACAACATCAGCCTAGCCAACCTCAGCAGGCTCAGACGGGTTGAAGAATTGGAGTCGTATCTCGTGTTCATGCGGGCAGCCCAGCGGGCAGCCAGCAGTGTGACGAACAACGTTCTGATTGGTACATATGCGCTCTCCGGGCAGTTACAAAAATGGACGTGTATTGAGGCGATGCAGGGAGCAGGAGAAAGGTTGAATACAATGAAGACATGTTGGGCCTTGATGGGTCGACAGGCAAAGCGAGGAGCAGTTGAGAGGTTTTACAAGGTGTGGGAAGAGGTGAAGCATGCTGGATAGGAGAGACATGAGTTTTTTTTAGTTTTGGGGGGGTTGTGGGTGTGTGTGGGTGGGGGTGTTGGTGGGAGTGGTGTGGGGGCGTGTGTGTGGGTGTACGGTATGTGGGTGTGTGTGTGTGGGGGTGATGGTGTGAGTGTGTGTCAAATGTTTATATATTCTATATATTGTTAGATACCATCAGCCCCGGGATAGAAGCGCCCCTAAGGGTATAAAAAAACACTGTTTTTAGGGGGTGCGCTTATAATCGAGGAATTTTATAAGCGCCGGCGTTTATAAAATGGCAAAAAGAATTTCTATCTGTTTTACACCAAACTGTAGATCTCGTTCTGCCGATTGTAGTCAAGTCGAAAACATATAGGGTCGTGAATATGATTCTCGCACAGTTTGACAGGGAGTGATTCCCTGCCAACTCAAACTGACAGAATGACAGCAAATGCTGACTAGAAGCGCAAAAAGTGGGATCAGAGTATGGGAAATCGAATTTGTAGTCCGTTTCCCTGATAATGTGAAATTTGTTTCTGTATTTCGTCAGGTTTTCAAATGAAAAGCCAACATGCGCTTATACACTGAACGAAATAATTGTCCACATGTTCATGTTTCAAGACATGAACGGGCATTAGTGGCCATGGTGATTAAGCCTTAATAACTGGACCACATGAGGTTAAAGCCCGAAGGGTTGTACATCTAAACACGCTGCATGTTGGTCATAAACTCGGTTAAACAATCAGCGAATATAGAAATAGGCAAATACTAGCATAAGGACAGTTTTTTACAATTACAGTCACACATGCAAACCAAGCAGAATCTAGTACTTGGTCCAGCGACCCTTGGCCTTGAGCATAGCCCGCACACGCCTAGGCATGCTGTCGATCAGCTCACTGCACCAAGCCGCAGGGATTTTCTCCCATTCCACTTGTACTCTGTCCCATAGCTCGAGAATGCCTGCAGGGGGGCGGGGGTAAGCAAGCAGCTGCTTCTTCAAGTAAACCCACAGATGTTCTATGGGGTTGAGGTTCGGACTAGATGCTGGCCATGGGAGCACAGAGTACGGCTGCTCGGCAAGGTATGTTTTGACCATCTTGCATGTATGCTTCGGGTCATTGTCATGCTGGAACACAACGATCTCGGGATCCAACTCGTAATGCTCAATAGTCTGCTGCAGCTCGTCTTGCAGGATTGAACGGTACAACTCGCCATTCATTCTTCCCTGTATCTTGCACATGAAACTGTCAGAATCCCAACCACTAGACCATTGGGATAAAAGGGCTTGTTAAGTAGCGGGTCAGTGGGCCCATAACCCCCCAGGCCAACATGCCTGTAACCCTTCCCTAGGATCAATCGGGGATCACCAGTGGACCTCTGACACCCCCCCGCACTGGGATGCCCAAAGTGCACACACTGGGATTCGAACCCGAGACCTTCACTCTGATACCATGTCAGAATCCCAACCACTAGACCATTGGGATAAAAGGGCTTGTTAAGTAACGGGTCAGTGCGCCCATAACCCACCAGGCCAACATGCCTGTAACCCTTCCCTAGGATCAATCGGGGATCACCAGTGGACCTCTGACAGAAACCCCCGCCGTTGTATGTCATGCACCCCCAAATCATGATGGAGCCGCCGCCATGTTTGACGGTCTGTTTCACATGGTGCGGCTCCATGTGACAGTCCTCCCTAATCCAGGCCCAACTACGGCCGTCGCTACTAAACCGGCAGATCTTCGTTTCGTCGCTCCACTCCACGCGTTTCCAGTCATCGATCGTCCAGTGCTGATGGTCCTTGGCCCACTGCCTGCGGTCCTTGACATTTTTCGAGGATAATCTAGGCTTCGACGACTTTTCTATCGCCCTAACTCTGTGCCGCTTGAGAGTGTTTCGCACAATGGTGCCCGTGACACTGATGCCGTGCGTAGAGGATATCATTCCCGCTGCGGCCTCGGCGGATTTCGATTCACCAGACACTATTGACCTTATAACTATCCTCGCGATTTGCTCTGGTAACTTGCGCGGCCGACCAGGTTTCGCCGGGGATGGCACTAGCTCGTCGAACGTTTTCGGACCGAGGTGGCGGATGAGCTTATCATGGACGGCAGACTTTGAAACTCCCAACTCCTGCGCGATTTGGCGGTAACTACGCCCCTCCGCAATTCGCTACATGATGCGCTTCTGTTTCTCCTTGCTAAGGCGCTTCATGCTGCGGGGGTGTTAGCGCTACTCGTAGATCGTAGTATCCGCCCGTAATCTCCTATGAACCTAACTAGTCTAGATCTAATAGCGCACGAAATAAGGCGCGGGACATTTCGGAAAGATTTGTCCGTGTGGGGTGTCGAGAGGGAAGAGCTGACTCATTAGAGCAAGAGGTTTTTTTGGGGCTATAGGTAGCCTACACAAACTCGTAACTGTCAATCGCGAACCCTGTATGCAATATGTTTATTACAAAACTTGTTTAGGCCCCAATTGGGTGCAAGTTATCACACATTTCGAATGCATAAGGACAATAATTTTGTTCAGTGTAATAAATCATCTTTTTTTAGGGGGTGGGCTTATAATCGAGGACCAGATATAAGCGCCGTCATCCTTTTATAAGCGCCGGCGCTTATCCGAGGCTTGCGCTTTTATCCGGAGGCTTACGGTAGGCTACAGTGAGTTGCCCTCTAAAGGGTACAACACTTTAGGTCAACACTTGTATCTCCTTGTTCCTCCTTACTCACACAATCCTCTCGACACTTGTTTCCTAGCCTATTTTAAGATGGTATTAGAGTAGGTAATTTTTCCCCCTCCCACGCTTCCGCTCCCTCCCTTAGCCAGTCCCAAGGCGCCCGTCCCTTAGGCTCCGTTTCGTCGCGGGTAGGACGGCCCCCGCGGTCCTCGTTTTTGTCGCGTTCAAAGGCCCCCGCGGGCCTCGTTTTTCGTAGCGTTTAAAGGGCCCCGCGGGCCCCTCGTTTCGTCGCGCTCCAGAAGGGACCCCCCCCCCCCCGCGGACCCCCGTAGTCGTGCTTAGCCCGCAACAGCCGCGCGTGCAAGAAGCAGGCACACACGCACCAGCAGCAGCAGCGCGCGCGTTAGCCAGCGGCAGCCGCACACGCCACTGCAGCACGCGCATTGCAGCAGCAACGCTCACATTGCAG